TGAGTTAAACCAGAAACTATTTAGGCCTATACTGAAAGCCGAACGACCAGATTCGATAAACATGGAGGACAACTTCAAAGCACAAGTAGACTAATGTATCTACATGGAAAGTCAATTAGATGGCACTTTTCGAATCACTGCCGAATGAACAGATAATGATGATCTCCTTTTAAGGTAGTGTTCAGACAAGCAAATATTTCTAGCCAACATAGACTTCAGACATAAAGAGGGACATTGCATGACCTAGTGTCCACCAACCTCTACTCAGCTGTGGGGACAGGTTGACCATATTACCGAAAATTATCACTTGAGAGGGTTTGTAGAAGACTGTCTCTTCTGCTGAATTACGTGCTTCGACAATAACCCCACTCTGAGCCGAACATATGAACGTCTGTGTCTAAATGGAAAGCCAAAACTCGAAGGTAATTTTGAGAACAGCTAAATGCTGAAATACATTAAGGTTTCTTTCAATAAAGAATTGGTTCGGTAGTTATCAGGAAAAACAGTTTCATTCATCCTGAGCAAGCCTGATGCTATTCCCAGTCTGCTGTACATACAGCGTTAACGATTATAATCGACCTGTAATCTCATATGGTCATTGAATATAGCACACAACGATCCCCTATCACCTACTTGGTGATTTTCTAAGTATAAACTATTGCTCATAGTCACATCCAAATAATTACACAAATTTCTAATTCATGCTCAGTGTCATCAAGTAAGTAATAGTGTCTCACTGTATGCTATATCAAATGAACAAACTAAATATGGAACCATAACTAATCCTTAAAAAACCATCAGAAAGGGCTGATTAATCTGATCAGTTTCTTTAGAAATAATACATGCTTGTGAATTCAGATCTCCTGGTTTCGAGCACAATGGAGGTCAGACGTGAACCAACTTTAGAAGGTTAAAGAGTCTTTGCAATAACTATACGCCATGGTGAACAGCCATGATTAGAGAACATCCAGCGGCACCAAGCGGTATCAGATAGCTGCTTAAGCTTATCAAAGGAACTTGAGGCTATAGCCCAAAAATTAGGGTTTGATAATCATTTATAAGGAAGACGACAGGAAGACTTTGAAGCATAGTTCACTGCCTTGCAGTTACTCTTCCGTAGCTTGCTATCTAATAGTATTTTGAACAGAAAAGTTAGATAGGGCATCCAACTGTCGCTACATCTCAGAAAGCTATGAATAACGTGAGACACGAGAGGATACCGTATGCCGACAAGTTACGCCAGAGTTACGCCAGGATGGTGGTCGAAAATTATTTGTTAAACTGACTGAAGTTTTATCCTGGGTTTCGGATAGACATAGACCTAATCTTCAAGAAAGAAGATAAACCGCTTTGTAATGATGATCAAGAAATCAGACTAACCACACAATTGTCTGCGACTCAAAGTTCGAATTCAGCTTAAGAACGACAAAGTCGAGAAAATCAGGAAAGCTTTCCACCCAGCCGGGAGCGTGTTGACGAAATGTTCACTCTCTTCTAGAGACTCAAACACAGGCCCAATAACTGTCACTCAACAGTAGCTGTATTTCTTGACTTGTAGACGAAAATCAACTTTGTGAATCATGAAGTCTTAGGGAGTTTGCCTCGCGGAAAGGAATCCCTACTAGTTGTAATTTACTATCAAAGGGTAGATAAGCGAAGATCCGCAGTCACGTTAAAGCTATTGGTTAGCTACAAGATGAATTGTCTACGTCAGATGTTATCTGTCAATCATATTCGTTCTTTCGGTTCTCTCCAAACTCTCGTGCTTGTTTTTTATAGGGGCCTTCTTTATGCAGTTAACTTCATGGTAATTGATCTCTTCACATGAGACGCATTTGTAGATTGGACATAAACAAAATATAGGATCACTAGCAGGAGTAGTGGTAGTTGAGAGGTTGGTAGAAATTATATGCAATTACCAGCAATAGGTAACGATTCTGCACAGAGAAACGCAGGAAACAATGTGGGCGTATTAAAAGCAAACAGAGATAGAAGCAGAAGAGGGAATGAAGAACATTGTACAAATGTCTGTTTTAGTGGAAAGTGTACATTATTTCATCACTACTGTACAAGATAATAATCGACATTCCTTCCTGCGTTTCAATCTTCTCCTTTCCTACAGTTGCATATGCCCTAGGCTGGAAAGTATAACAAAGGTAAGAGAAAGGTATAGATGCTGGTCTTTACTGAATGACACTGAATGTTAAAAAGTATCCAGCTTCAAAGTAATTCCATCCCCAAACCCGCAAGCGTAGGGTTAGATAAATGTTTCAACAACAGAGCTACAAGTCTAACTGGTGAATCTAAAAGTGTAAACAAATGTACTTTAGAAATCAAGATAAAGATAATTACTCAAAATCTATCCCCACAAATTAACAGAACCTAGTGATAAACGAAGTCGTAGTATGGTCAACGATGACAGCACGACTACCATACTGGGCAAGAACATCACAAAACCCTATGTAGGATTCTTAATAAGGCTGGGATTAGGATAGTATTCAAGACAACAGATTCAACGCAAAAATACAAGTATCAATAAATGACAACTGAAACCCGTTGCACAAGAGGTGACTGTTGTGCTCCACTGGACTCATGGATAACGCTTTGGCGTCTGAAGTGATGAGTACTGGGTTCCAGTCTAAGTGAGAACAACATCACTCACTGAGGTGCAGGCGAATCCGGTTGACTAGTCTCAAACAGGACGAAATGTACATCCTGCTATTCACCAAGATGAACACCTACAAATTCAGTTGCAGATAAACTTTACCGCTTAAGAACTCGAGTGACTTGTTCGACAAAATACTTTAGTCAACCTAATTTCCTGAAATGACCACAAGGTCAAGTACATAGGTCAAACCAGGTTAACGGGGTTAGTCAGTTTATCGGAGGTATATGAACTTAATCAAGTTTACAAGGATCGAAGTTAACAAAATCAATAATCTAGAAAAGACTCATCTATTGGAATACATATACTGACATACAATCATACAAACAGTGGAGAGAGGCATATAAATTACCGAATTAAGTCAACATCTATGCAACAGGGATGACGAAATACCTATTCCAGGGATGTGAAAAATGTTACCGCCAAAGAGTCAAAGAATAATTCTACATATTCATTATAACTGGTTCATTCGTTTACTGCCTTAAACTTTTCAACCCCATAATAACAAGAATTGTACTACGCTTTCAATTAGCTGCTACTTAATGTTGTTTGTAGTTAGTCTCCGTGTGCGGAATGAGTTTCCTACAAAAAAAGGATTCAACTAAGTAACGATGAACCAATTCATTGTTTCGCGGCCGCCGGGGATCGAATCCGGAACGCATGTCTCTCCCTGCGTGAGACTTGTCAGCTGAATAGACCTGTATCTCAATGAGTGGTGAATAAGCTATGAGACAAGATGTGTATCTTGAATCCCACTGCTAGCCACCACATTGAAATGAGACTTGAGGCTCTTGTGCCAAAAGTGACCGATCAATTCGGTCTGGTATCAAGTGTACGAGTCCATTCGTTAAACGGCTAACCATATTCATTGAGCAAACAATTATTCACATACTACTCAATTTTCTATTTTTCTAGTGGGATAAGCAACCACAGTCACACCAAAAGTTACAATAACAGCTACAAATGAATGGTGTCAACACCCCGGTTATTCTAACTCGTGAGACATCAGTCCCTTCAAGGTCACATATACGTTTTGTTGACGATTTCCAACAAGGCCCAGAGCATCCTATCGACTGTCTCCATCCAACTGACATCTATGAAAGTGTATCGCAATGCTGAGCAGTCTAGTCTAGTGGCCGCATTACAAATGTGTTCTACAGGATTCGTTCAGCACATAAGACTAAACAATATGAAGTTGGTTATCCTCTAGTGACCAACAAATGTACAGTCATCTTTATTGTTGCCTATACGCAGCGGGATACTCTGAGGTTTATGCTAAAGACCGCCTTTGTTTTTGTATTATCAGCGTTCTGCATGGTAGTATAGGTACAGTCGTGGTAAGTCGTATGTACGACAGACATCAACAAACTGGTGTATACGTATGATACATCTTAAACCGACCAATTTAAAAGCCATTCTAATGATTAATAAAAAACAGCTAGCACTAATGGTGGTCATTGTTACTTGTAATTTCCCGTTGCTATACAGGGTCGAATTGCTAGACCTCCAGTGGATAACACTTAGGCGTTTGAAGTGATCAGTTCTGTGTTCAAGTCTTGGTGGGAACAACATCACCCACTGGATTGCAGATGCTTCCGGTTGATGAGTCCCAAATGAGACGAAACTTGCGTCATGAATCCCATTGCTAGTCACCAAGATTAATACTACATCTAGACTTTTAAGGTGAATCTTTTGCTCAGTTTTCCCCAATTATCCTCTGATTCCACAAGCCGACCACAAAAACAATGGAACTGTAAGCTGATAGCATACAACATGTTATACTTCTACTTCATTCCTCCATTTTTCAAAAATATGTAGAGTATACATCCCCTCTCCGATTATCCTCCCCGCTTCATCTTATGCAATAACGGTGAGAAATACTTACAATTTCGAACATAGTTGTTCTTTACTCTAACACCCTATATTTAGTCATTTACAGTTGCTTCTTTGCATGCATCGCTACATGAAACAATAAATTCAGCATAGAATTAGCGTGTCTATCCTCGATTTTTCCATGTTAGTGTCCCTAATTCGGTGTATTCTTGAGTTGACTAAAAGGGCGGTAATCAAGTCAGTCCCCCTGTTGGTCAAACAAATCAGTCCATTGCCTGTATGAATGTATTTGTGTAAAGGGGTGGATTTTCGACAAGATGTGTCCAACCAATGGACTAGAGGCGTTCTATGTAAAGTCTTTCGGTCTAACCTGCGAACATTGTTAGTTGGCTAACAAACAAACACATATATTAACTAACCAGCTAGCTAGCTGATAGGTTAGATAGACAGACAGGCTAAATTCTGACCCAAAGCAAAACTGTAAGCGCTCGGTATGAAAATTGCGACCTCTAACTAACAAACTTTACTTAAGCATAAATGAAATGGCTGTGCACACACAAAATTACTTTGATGAATCAACGTTGGTAGATTGAACAAAAACAGTGAAAAATATAAAGGCTAGTTAGTTTCATAATTTTCTATCATTAAAAAACATAATGCTGGGATAATGTTATCAACAATTCCAATAAATATACACATCAATAACAATATCTTGTAAATTTCTTCAAATAAAAAAAGTATCTACTTTGATTCACTTCTCTTAGAATATTCATTTTTCTTAAGATATCTGGTGGTGTAAATGTGCTCAATGAAATCAGTGGATCAATTCAAAGCATCATCGTGATTGTGTGCGTACATGTCTGTATCACTAAACTTCGCACAACATACACGTATACTCATTAATATATATTTGTGTGTTAACAGTATACACAAACCCAAAATGTACATACATATTTAGGCTTAGATAAAATATAAATTATTGCAGGGTAACGATCGATCGTGTTAACGTCATAGCTAGTATACAAACAAACACAGAACTTGGAAATTCATCTATGAATATATGCACAAACATATTTGAATATAAATACGTGTATATATATGTATGCAGATATAGATAGATGCGTGTGTGTGTGTGTTGACGCGTGTTATATATACACATGCGCAGACTACCATGTTTAAAATTTTGTAGGTATATGGTCATAATCTAATATACTTTGGTGAAGGTGGTGTTTATGTGCTCATCACTGTGTTGAACAATGAATGGTTTGGATTGGATTACTATGATTACTACTCTGGATATTTTTTCTTGTGGTCTACTTTCAAATGTGTGATTATTTATGATTCATACAGCATTATTATTACACTTTTTAACAGAAATTTGAAGAAAAAAAAGTGACGTGGAGATTACAGTGCAACGGTCAACTGATTACCAGTTAGGTAATAAACAACGTATTAAAACATGATAATTAAAAGTGAATTAACCGGATGTAAAATTGAATTAATTGATTGTTTCGGTGAGCATCAATCACAGTTATTTTATCGTGGAATACGTGTACACAATCCATGTTGGAATAAATATGCCAAATCACAATTGGATATTCAATTAGGATCTACTATGCCTTTGGATATAAGTGATGATTATAATGAACCTGTTCTATGTATTCCTATACATTTCTTTCAACGTCTCAATGATAAACAAGGACGACAACATCGTCGGACAGGTGGAAGTGGAGGATCTAGCAATGAATATATTCATTCTCAACACAATTATCCTAAATCTTCTTTGCACAATATGGATTACAATGATAATAATGATAGTTTTAGATTATCTACTATAAAATCGAATGATGACCAGTTTAGTCATCAAATGACAAATTCACTTTCGACTCGAAGTGAGTCTAAGGTTAATACTTCTCTAGTTAACAATGCATTGGCTACAATACGTATATATTTCCCTGTGAAATTAATGAAATCAGCCAATGAATTGAAAATTAGTTCGGATCTTAAAAAACGTTTCCATCTCCCTCCAGTAAGTTTAAATAAATCTACTTTGAGTGTTATTATTTAACGCTTTTATTCTAACTAATCATCTTTATCGGTTAGAAATCCGTTCTCTGATACTCTATATGCAAAATTACTATCCCATATGGTATTGTATTTGAATATCACTTTATGTCGGTTTCTTGGGTTTTGTGTTTTTCTTCCTCCTCCACCCTCTGCTATTTCATTGAGTAAGCCCATCTGATCACGCCAAAAATCACTTCTATTTTTAATGCATCATACACACAGTTTGAGTGTCTTGTATATGTATATCCCTTAGGTGTGTCGTATGTGTGTATGTGTGCGTGCATAAGTGAGATGGTCATTCATCAACTAACAATGATTTCTACCATATGATTGGGTTTAAATATTATTCTCTCTCTTGCTTACATACACAAGTTTGTATAAATGTTAGTTGTAATCACCGTCACAATAAACATATAAACCAGCCTCATTTAAAAACTCTTTGTCTAAAAGCGAAAATCCGTTCGAATGCCACTTGACCTCTTCAGAACAATACAATATGCACATAGGGATAGACACAATATAACAAAGTGACCATAGTTTTTCTTCCATTTCACTCATGAGATGAATATTAGTACGCTCCATGGTTATGAATCATTTCAACTTGGTGTTCATCATAGATTGACAACATTTGAAACCTGGATGTACTGGATAGCTGTTTTGTTTTAGTATGGAATCCTTCAACAGTATTCACTCCTAAATTGGTAGGAATCGAACGCAGGACTTTCGGGTCTCATGACCTACATATTACCACTAGGTCACTGAGTCATAATCCAATGGTCTATATTTCCAACTTCTGTTAGTTCATGATATGACGCGAGTAACTGTCCTCATATCCGACTTGGCTGGCCTCATCGATCACAACTTATTGGAACTTCGGGAATCATCTCTCGAAGCTAGTCACCAATGTGTACTAAATTAATTCAATTTGGAGATTTATAGGGATTTGTTGATTGATTCAAGGTTGGTATTCATCATGGAGTGACATCAGCTGCAGAAACATTGGAAACCTGGGAGCCCTAGATAGCTGTTTCGTCCTAGTATATGACTTCTCAGCAGTGCACACCCATGATATATATAGTCTTGATTCCACATTCACTTAACTCTATCCATCTTGTAATTTTTTGCGACTTGTATGTAATTTCTTTGGTAAACAGAGGGATGTTAGTCTGCCTCTGTTTGCATATAGCCTCTTATAAGGAATCTTCCACTATTGTTCGAAGAGTTATGCTATAATGGAATTCAGGACCTGCGTTTCTTCCCACTTGGGGCTCGTCAGTTGGATGTCCTGCATTTAGCGTTGAAAGTTGTCCATGCGGAAAAAATCATTATTTTGGATGCAATTTCGGTTGACTGATATCTGAGACCCTTAATAATTATGTCCTATAGTATGAAAACTATTTTGACACATATGATCACTTGATTGAGGAGGAACTCGTAGTTGCTGTGACTGATGTGTAAATTATGTTGACGAGTACACATATGAGTTGAAACACTTGACACAACAGACATCGTTTTACAAAGTATGGGATGTTTTTTGAGTAATTTGTATCATACAGCAGAGTTTTCCCTTGGAATGCTGATCTTATGTTTCATCTCCGGTGAATTTAATAAAGCTATACTGGATCGAACTGATTGACCTCTGTTGGGATATTAGTTCGTATGAGGATGTCTCGATATTACCTGAATATTCGTTGTTATGGTTAACTTGGTGGTCGGGGTTCCGAGTCTCCATGGGAACAATATTGCCCACTGAGCTGCAGGTACATCCAGTTGACAAGTCCTAAATAGGAGGAAGCGTCCATCCGGAATCCCAATGCTAACCACCACCAAGTAAATTATGACAATTAAGTAGTCGGGGTTTGGCAGACGGGTAAAATAACACCAGTGACGACAGACGGTGAAATGGAAAATTGGGTTATGGCAGGATTTAAACGATTGAACTCTAGATTACAGGTCCAATGCTCTACCAACTGATCTACATGACCCAAAACCTTGGTGATTGAAGTGAAATTAAGATTTGATCTGTAGCTGGCTTTAGCAGGTCACTTGGTAGAGCACTGGGCTGGTCACCCAGAAGCCGCTGGTCCGAATCCTGCCGCTTCCCAGACCTCCATTCCATAAGCTACCATACCTTACGTGACCACACTAAGTGAGAATGCCTTAAGATGAAAGGTTTCTGGCGAGCTCGTGGGCGCATAGTAATGAGGAGCCCCATACTAGGATGAAACAATTGTCCAGTGTTCCTAGGTTTCAGTGGTTCTCCAATTGATACCCGTTCATAACGAATACCACCTTTAAATAAAAACCCAGTCAAAAGCGCTATAAAGTTGTGAGAAAATGCAAACTGGGACAAGAGAATACCGAAATTCATGAGGAAGACGATGAAGACGAAGATGATATGCGAATAAATCTGCCCCACTGACATCGATTATGAGCCGTATCACCGAGTCTCCAACTGCCGGTTGCTCTTGTCACGCGGATCCCAACCAAAAAGTTTAGATTCCCCTGCGTTACTGAGACTTACAGTCAGAGGCTTCATGGACCGGTGCTATGTGCCGCCCCGAGCCTTTTTCTAGCCTAAACCACCTACTCTAGCTAAAAAATATGCGACAAGGAAGACGGTGACTAGACAAATGAAACAGCTGTCTCAGTTATCTGAGTCGATAAAGGTCCAAAAACTCCTCCCTAAAACTACGCCTGATATCTGAAATGCTGACTTGATGACATCACGACATTGCCTATCTTAAATAGTCATGTTTCACAGAGCAAAGTGCGGCACATCATAACTGACCTTTAATAGATAATCAGATATCGTAGTGCGCGCCATAAACAGGGAAAGTTGACGAAAGCCGAGAGAGCCTTTTCTTATCCTTTCTTAGATTTCGTCGGTCACTGACCCGCTAGAACTGGTCCAACTTCCCACGTAAGTGAGGTGGTCAACGCAATCAACCATTTCACTTCATATTGCTAGATAAAGCACTATTGAAGACCAGTCTTGGAGTAACAATTCGCATTTGGATGATGAGAAAAATTTCCCATTCTCAAATTCCCAAGTTTGATGTAGACTAGGGAATTAATCGCAGTTATCGAATGAAGATATGCTATTTCATAACACTTTTTATTACCGATTTAAACATGGTATGAGGCTGTTTCCTCTTATTTGCAGCGGGGAGTTATATGAAGAGTTGATTCTGAAGTGTTAGATATAGCATTGTGCCTAAGAACTCAGTTCCATTCCTTTTTTGGCATCTTCAGAAACCTGGTCATTAATTCAGAATGCCTACTTTTTTCTTGAAAGTCTCAATTTTAATCATCTTCGAGGAAAGAGATTATATATCCATTCCAGTCATACAGCGGGTTAGTCACGGCTGGAATAGCTTAGTAATAACTTCTTTGATTGCAACACTGAGTGATCCATCTTTGGGTCTCAGTTTCCTTGCGGTTACAGATACGTCTTACCGACAAGTGTCAACAAGCACGAAACCATCTACTTTCGAGAAAGAGATTATATTAAAGCTTGTTATTTCTCTTTGTTGATCGGCCTCTGGTCGCATATGCAGTCCTATTTGAATGTGTCGATATGGCCGGTTGTTTCAGTTTAACATTGACGATAGATAGTGGTTAGGAATGGAATTTAGTATCAGTGGAGTCATCATCAAGCACTGGTATACAGGTACACCCAACTGACAAGTCTCAGATAGGACGAAACATGCCTCCTGGGGTCCACTACTATCTAATATCCATCCTTCATTCCATAAAGAGATTATATCTTTAGGATTGGAATTTTATATCACTGGTGATAAATGGATAAGAAGGTGGTTTTCAGTGTATATGCAAGTGACTGCACTTGGTAACAATTGAAGTAAGCGAATGCTTATATATGACCAAATAAATCCTCTTGAATCAATAGTGAATTTAAAGGCCATTCCAGCAACTATGGCAATAATCTATTATTGTTCTCTACTTTAAAGAAAACCGCCCCTTTAAACGAAATTTTAAAAAAAACAGTCAGTTATTTCAGTGGTTGCTAGGGCGGTCTGTGGACCCGCTACGATTCCATCTGACTGGGGGTAACTTTAAAGGCCACCCTGATAACTGCTGAAATAACCAATCAGGTCTCGACATTCTGGGTAGAAAGGTGTTTTTTCATAAAATCGAAAAATATAATTGGTTGTCTCAACACTTACTAGGATGGCCTTTAAAGTCACTCATCTGACTGTTAGCAGTTATTGCTTGGGTCAACCCTTAAGGCCACCCTAACAACTCAAATAACTATTGTTTGAAAATTTGCCTTTCCAGTTATAATAATATTTAAACCTAATTGTTTGTTTCAGTCGTTGCTAGGGTGGCCTTCAAAGTTACCCGATTTAAAAGGAACCTAGCAACTGCGGAGATAACCAATCACGTTCCTGAATTCTATGAAAAACTATTTTTCCAGACGAAATTCTGACACTTAGTTGATTAATTTAGCAATTAACGGGGTGGCATTTAAAAGCAAATCGAGCTCAAAGGCCACCCTGGCAGCAACTGGAATAACCAATCAGACTTCTCTATTTTAGGAAAATCTGACTTTCCAGCCGAAATGAAGAAACCGAGTTGGTTATTTTGATCGTTGCTAGGGTAGCCTTTACAGTCTCCCAGCTTGAAAGCCACTCTAGTGGCGAATAAAATAAGCTTTAGTGTTTCGCTATTTCGGCATGAAGGGAAAGGAGTTTAATCGGTTATTTAAGTTGTTGCTGAGGTGGGCTTGAAGACTCCGGTAGTGTTGTGTTAGATTGTTCTTCATTAGATCCGGTGCAAATGTACAATAATCATCTGATGAACATCATTTGGAACATGAGTTACTTTATGTTACTATTTTGCTGTAATTTGCATATGAATGAACATGATGTAGTAAATAAAGACTTCACTTCCTTCTGAAGATTTGATGTAATGATGATGACTATATCGATACCCTACCTC